CATGAAACGTAAATTAGTCTAATAATGGATAGAATTATCACTTTAGGCCCTAACATATACGTACTTAGGGGCTCGAATATGCATATATTCAGTGCTCATCACACCCCCAAACTTACATATTGCTAGTCCCTTAGCAATATAGAACTAAAAAGCTGCTTTCGTGGGAATCACGGTTGCATTTAGCCTATGCAACAAGCCTTTAAACCCCTAGGTTACCCCTAGTGGACGAGTTGTAGTCTCATGAGGGTTTCAGTGAAGATACCCACAAACTTCTCAAATCAGTGCCTTAAATGCACAGCAAGCTTACTCAAGCTTGTTTTCAAATCATATCATCCCTACAGTTCATTAATCAGTCAAATACAGCAAGTATACCAGTCATGTAATTAGAAAAACTTTCAACTTCCAATCTCAATTAAACAACCATAGTCCCCATATATCAGTTCAATCATTTATTCAACAATTTTAATCTCAAAGATGCTTTTTGAAAGTGATCCTGCAATTCATTGTGTGGCTTACTGTCCATACTTGCATTTATTCCTTGTCATTCCTCAATTCACAATCAGACTCTTCAAATTCCAACTCCCAAGGCATTTTTATTATTTTTTTCAGATATGCATTTTTTCAAAAAGGATACTTGTGCAATATCTAGGTTTATTAAACTTTCTAAATTACCCTTGTAGCAAACTTTCAGCCAATGACTCCCAGACCAGATGGTCTTAGGGCATTAAGTGTTAAAACACCCCTAAGGACTTAATTGTTCAAGTAATCTAGTCAACCTAAACCCCTTATGTAACAAGCTTTCAGCCAATGACTCCCAGACCAGTCGATCTTAGGGCATTAGGTGTCAAAACACACCCCTAAGGACTTAATCACTCAAGTAATCTAACTACAAACTTGAACTTGATCATTTTCTACTTTTCTTTTTTTCATATTTTTTTTTTTTTATTTTTCATTCACATTGGTGAAGATTTTTTTCTTTGTTGCATACATACCAATTTTTCTCTATTTCTTTTTTTTTTTTTTTCTTTTATGCCTCGGTCATCAAAACTATCAAATCTTCCTGATCATCTCAGTCTAATTCAAAACAAAACAAGACTTCCAATTTCTACCCCACAGACTTCATATAAGTTTGAATATTGTGCAAAGTGTAGCATCTCAGAGATCAGCATCATTAAACAACAATCATCCTAACAGAGTGAACCACGGGCCACCAACTGATTTTAAAAATTTTCAAGGACTCATTTTCATAGTAATTTAGCATACAAACCATTTCTAACCAACTTCAGACTGCAAACAGAGTATATAATCATCAACAGACTCAAACACATGCTTATATCATCAAATAGCAAATCACATCCTTATGTAAGCAGATTAATAAAAAAAAATTCTTTCTAAGCCAACCTTACCCCCAAACTTAGTATGCACATTGTCCTCAATGTGTGAGAACAAAAAGAGAGTGAGAAAGTTATTACCATACAAGCAGACCAGCAAAGATATAACAATGTAATGCACAGAAGGGTAAAAATGAGTGTCCAGCATCGTTTCCTTCAACATAATGGTTCCTCTTAAAAGCACCCCTAAACTTAATCTGTTGTAACTGGTAAAATCAATAAACTCCAACACACATCAGAGTATCAAGTATATAGAGTAAGCATATAGAAATATAAACACAAGGATAATAGAACCAAAAAGCATGTATAACTATCAGAAATCAGTACAAAGCTTTTAAAAGAAAGACTTAGGGCAAATATACATCATACGGAAATAAATACAACAAAAAAAACTGCTCTAGTTAACAAAAATATAGAAAAGTCTTAAAAACTAATCCATAGGTGGTGGTGGTGGAACAGAAAAAGTGGATGGATCGGATCGAGTGAGACGAAGTAACTCCTCCAAAATACTCTGCTGCGCAGTCAACGTCTAACACAACACTGTCTGACCAGCGTATAGCTTGGCCACTCTGGCGTGTAAAGCTCTAATCTCAGCCTGATAAGAACTCTCAGGCTGGGCTGCAAGACCGGGTCTCCTCTTAACCTGAGGTCGGCTATCAGAAAGATACATCTCCTCATCTGTAGCCTTATCATCATCATCGTCATCCTCGTCCTCATCCATTACTACCATCACCACATCAGCAGGGTCGGTAGGAAGAATAGTAGGCAGGGGTGGATAAGGTGGAAAGTGCAGCTCATAAAGCACACCCCTCGCCTCGGCGTCCCTACGCCGTCGATCCTCTCAGATCTCATCGTCAACACCCCACTCCAGCTTCATCTCCTTGGGCATATGCCCAAAGACGTTATTCCACTACGTGAAACGATACTGGGTGAAGACAGCAATATCAGCCTCATTCAAGGGTAGCGGAACCCCCGTTATCTCCATCAGGCGTGTGACCAGCCTACGAAAATGAATATGATGAATAGGAGGGTGTCAGACCTCACCCATCTCCTTATCAAGCCGATGGAGCTATACCAAAACTAACTAGGGAATAGACACCCAGTAGCCAGCGTGGAATGCATAGGTCACATCCACCATCTCAGCACATCGCACTATCTTATGTCCGATAGGGCGAGCGTTGGCCACAAGGACCGTATCCAAAAACCAAAAACGTCTCAGAAGCTGTGACTTCTGGATCATCTCTAAGGTGGAGGCATGTCGCCCCTGGCCCAAAGCACGGACCATCTCCTCCCGGGTCGTGCCCAGGGGAATCTGTGGAAATCTAGCCTGAAGAGCGGCTGGGCACCTGTGATGGCAACCCATAGCCTGAGCAATAGTGTCACAGCTCACTATCAGCTATATGCCCTTGACAGTGGCTGTGAAATGGTCCTCTTCATCCTCCTCCTCATCTCCTGTATGGAACTGCAAGGAGCGGTAGAAAGCTCACACCAGCCTGGGGTAGGAAATCTACGCTGGATGCCTCAAGAACCCAGAAAGCTGGTGAGCCTGCAGGGCCTCCACTACCCAGAATGTATCCCGGTGCCTCTAAAAGTCCTCTATAACAAAATCTGTCTCATCACAGATCTTGCTATACCGCCAAGAATCATCTAACGCTATCGCCGGCGTCCTAACAACTCTCTGCCTCGGCCGTCTTGGCATCTCTATAATCCAAGAAGAAAGCACTTATCCTTTTAAGGAATATGGTGTGGCATTGAAGATGTTTAATTTGACCTCATGTTCCAAAAGAAATATCCATAGCCCCGGTCCTACAGTTAATGTTGGCATTCGCTATATTTAGAAATGGACGACCAAGAATTAAGGGAATACATCTATTGGGATCATGGACAGGCTCTGTATTAAGAACAAGAAAGTCTACTGGAAAATGAAACTTGTCTACTTTAATAAGAACATATTCAATTATCCCACGTGATTATTTCATAGATTGGTCAGCAAGTTGCAACACAGCCGACATGGGTTTAAGCTCTCCCATGCCTAATTACAAATACACTGAGCAAGGAATAAGATTAACACTAGCTCTGAGATCAAGGAGTGCTCTCTCTATTGCATTGTTTTCAACGACACATGAAATTGTAGGAGCACTAGGATCTTTGAACTTCGGAGGAGTGCTATGTTGGATTATTGCACTTATTTGCTCGGTAAGACAGATTTTCTTAGAGAGTTGGCCTTTTGATTTATGACCCATCTTCACATAGCATAGCCTATCAAACCCTTAAATATATGATCATTAAGCACCATTGTATGATAAACCTACCCTATAATCTTATAAAATAGAGAGGTTGAGATCAATTATAAATCCTTCTTCCTAAGACAATGTAAGATATCAAATATAATTGAATTTAAGTATTAAATCCCAAAATCAAGGTACAACCATTGTTTTGCCCTTAATCATGCAATCATCATACAATAAATAATTTGCAATAAAATAAACAACTAAACCATTGGAGTTAAGATTAGGGTTATATCAATCCCTTAGAAAGAGTTTAGTTGCTTATGGAGAAGGAAGAAGACTTCGTGAACCAACGGGCCAGTGGTCTAGCGGTATTAGCCTTTTACCTCCCAAAGGGAGGTCAGATGTTCAAGTCTCAGAAGAGACATGCGTGTGTGAGTACCAACTAGGAAATAAAGAAGATTTCATGAATGTGGAAACCTCCATCTTCATCTTCTCTTGCTTGATCTTGTCTTTGAAATCTTTTCTCTAAATCTGAAGAAAGTCTCTAAACTATACTATCAATGCCCCCTACTCTCCTCCTCTAGTTGTGAAGAAAACCCTATTTTTATAGCCATTGAAACCATTCCAAAATAGAATAGGAAAAAGGAAATCTGCTAAACTTGGACTCTAAAATTCGTGTTGTCTTACAGCTCAGTTTTGACATAGTAAACTTCATTTTTACGAAATTTCATTTAATTAAAAAGTTGTAGAGCTTCGAATTGTCTTTCAACCTCGCGAATTTTGAGCCATTTTGACACTCACTGAAGGAGATATAGCTGGAATACCAAAACAGGTCTAGTTTCCAAATCAAGAAAGAATTTCCTAGTTGAGAAGGATTCTCCCTTTTCTTCTTGTTTCCATTCTCATCAGCTTGTGACTTCTTTTGGGCTCTTCTCCAAATCTAATTGAACTTGGATCTTCATCATGGCTTAGCCCAATGAATGTGATCTTCCCCTAATGCCTTGGATATCATCTTTAAAGTACAAAACCCATGGTTTTAACTGACTTTATATTTAAGGGTCATAAAATCACAAATAAAATTATTACCAAGAGAATAAAATATGCAAGTTAAGGGATCAATTGTATAACATTTCAGCGCTTATCAATAAGCTTGGTAACTTTGATCGAGATTGAACATCAACATTGTGATTAAATTCCATTCATTTAATTAGACTAGCTGAGCCAAACCAAGTAATTTTTTTAAAAATTGTGAAGAATGGAGTTTGAGTTGTGTTTTTTTGAGCTAGTCACTAAAGCCAAATAAGAACTTGAACCTAAAAATGAATGGAGTGGAACATGAAGAATTTAAAACTCAGCTTTGAGTCGGTACCCACTTATTTGCAGTCCAACCACTACTAGTCGAGGAAGAATGGAGTTTGAGTTGTGTTTTTTTGAGCTAGTCACTAAAGCCAAATAAGAACTTAAACCTAAAAATGAATGGAGTGGAACATGAAGAATTTAAAACTCAGCTTTGAGTCGGTACCCACTTATTTGCAGTCCAACCACTACTAGTCGAGGAAGCTGGTCACAATAATGTGCGTACGTGGATAAGAGAAGGGACACTTGAGTGGAGTGGACTGAGAGTTGGTAGATACTTTAATAAAGGTTTTCTTTTCAAGTACTTTATGGTGCCGTGGTAGTCGTGATTTTGTAGAGTGATAGTGAGTAAAAAAGTGGTGTGCTTTCTTTCTATCTATCGATCGGTTGTTGAGTAGAGTACGCCGCCAGTCATGGCTTCTTGTAGTACTTGCTCTCTACCGCAGCAGTTCCCTTCTACTGTATTTGATGGCTGTTTCCACAACAATGAGTTTTCTTCTGTGGGTGTGGGCATGCCAAGGCTCAGTCATTTTGGCAATCGATCTTCTTCTTCTACTCATCTTCGCAATTTCAAGTCCAAAGGGTCCCAAATCAGGTATCAAATTTTCACTACTACTCCTTCCTTTTTCTTACTCTGCTGTATTTGTGTATATATATGCCTTTGTTCTTGCTTCCGTTCCCTTGAAAAATTATCTGCTACCAAAAACAGCATTCATCGATTAGCTTGTGAAATTTAAATTACAATTATTAGTCTTTGAGTGGAACCACTTCATTTGATTGTTTCCTGCCCCTCCTTATTTATTTATTTATTTATTTTTGGGTGTGTGTGGTGTGTTTGGGAGCGTGCAACTTGGGGGATTTGTCTTTCTCTACAAAATGCATCATCAATTCTCAATTGCTTCAAAAAAATTTCACCTCAAACTAAAATAGAATATCAAGACCCAGAATTTCATGGGTTTCATCGAGTCGAACAATTAGACCAGAAATTAAAAATGGATCAATAGTGTTTGATCATTTAAAAATACTTTATTTATTTATTTTTATTTTATTTTTTATTTTTATTTTTATCATATATATATATGTTGGGACACTTCCGAGACATGTGGACGCGTGTCACATCTCGGACACAACTAGTTGGAGAAAAACTTCATTGCGCCCGTTGCACGGTGAAACGGGCGCATCCTAACCGTTTGTGTAATACACATGTCCACGCGTGTATTACACACGCTGATTGGATGTGCCAGTTGCACGGTGCTGCAACTGGCACAAGAAGTTTTTCTCAACTAGTTGGGATACAACTAGTTGGGGAAGTATTAACATGCCAGGGACAAGTTTGGTACTGTTTTAGGACATAACAAGGTAATTTTGTAATTATTTTTGTTAAAAGAATGAGATTCAATGCATATAAACATGACTGATACCACTAGGACTAAGATCCTCTACTGTAATCGGGTCGTGCTGTACCCGTGCTGTGATCCGGAACAACAGCGTTTTGGACAAAATTGTTAAAACGTTTTTCACTTTTTACCAATTCTTCTCTCATCACCGATTCTTCTACCTCTTCACCATTTGCATATCTTCTATCTTCACCATCATCTCTCTTAACCCACGTCTCCACTGGCCTGAAGTCGGACCGATGAGTTTGAGTTTTGCAGCGAGAGATTTCAGTTTTGATTTTTAGTTCTGTCTTTGGGTTTGTGAAGATAGAGTCCTTATCTTTGGGTTTGTGGTTCTGTTTTTGGGTGAAGGAAGTGAGAAAAAAAAAAATGAATTTTGGGTTTGTGAAGAGAAGATCAGGATGTAGTGAGAAAAAAAAATGAGGAGGAAGTGGGTGTTTCAATAGCTGCTTCTTGTTGAAATTGCTGGTGTATATTAAGCTTCTTAAGCCTGATGTACAGTGTCCACCTCCCCTTTCCTCGCCGACCCCGGAGATTGAAGCAGACATTGGCCTTTTAGTGCTCCGTATATATGGCGTGGGTAAACCAAAATTTTAACCAATTTTCTGTCTAAAATTCTACTACTGATATGATATGGCCTCAGATATTGACAAAGGGAAGCCAAATTTTTGTTGGTATTTGGACTGTTACATAAAGCAAATATTATGATATTTTCTTAGGGTTTTAAGTAAACTTTATATCTAAAATTCTACAGTGAACTTATATTAAGTTGTTGAACAAAAATAAGGGCGTTCATTTTAAGATAAAAAGTGGTGAGAAAAACTTTAAGAGCGTTGAATTGAAGAATAAATCTGATATGTAAGGGCGTTGAGTTGAAGAATAAAAGTGGTGAGAAAAAGATTTAAATGCGTTGAGTTGAAGAATAAAAGTAGTGAGAAAAAGATTTAAATGTGTTGATGAGTTGAAGAATAAAAGTGGTGAGAAAAAAATTTAATGCGTTGAGTTGAAGAATAAAAGTGGTGAGAAAAAGATTTAAATGTGTTGAGTTGAAGAATAAAAGTGGTGACAATCAAATTTAAGGGTGCTGAGTTGAAGAATAAAAGTGATGAGAAAAAGATTTAAAGACGTTGATGAAGAATAAAAGTGGTGAGAATCATATTTAAGAGTGCTGATCAGTTGAAGAATAAAAGTGATGAGAAAAAGATTTAAAGGCTTGGAGTTGAAGAATAAAAGTGGTCATAATTAGATTTAAGGGCGTTGAGATGAAGAATAAAAGTGGTGAGAAAAAGATTTAAATGCATTGAGTTGAAGAATAAAATTAGTGAGAAAAAAATTTAAATGTGTTGAATTGAAGAATAAAAGTGGTGAGAAAAAAATTTAAATGTGTTGAGTTGAAGAATAAAAGTGGTGAGAAAAAGATTTAAATGCATTGAGTTGAAGAATAATAGTGAGAAAAAGATTTAAATGCATTGAGTTGAAGAATAAAAGTGGTGACAATCAGATTTAAAAGTGTTGAGTTGAAGAAATAAAAGTGATGAGAAAAATATTTAAAGATGTTGAGTTGAAGAATAAAAGTGGTGAGAATCAAATTTAAGGGTGTTGAGTTGAAGAATAAAAGTGACGAGAAAAAGATTTAAAGACATTGAGTTGAAGAATAAAAGTGGTGAGAATCAGATTTAAGGACGTTGAGTTGAAGAATAAAAGTGGTGAGAAAAAGATTTAAATGTGTTGAGTTGAAGAATAAAAGTAGTGAGAAAAAGATCTAAATGTGTTGAGTTAAAGAATAAAAGTGGTGACAATCATATTTAAGGGTGCTGAGTTGAAGAATAAAAGTGATGAGAAAAAGAATTACAGACGTTGAGTTGAAGAATAAAAGTGGCGAGAATCAGATTTAAGGGTGTTGAGTTAAAAAATAAAAGTGATGAGAAAAAGAATTAAAGACGTTGAGTTGAAGAATAAAAGTGGTGAGAATCAGATTTAATGGCGTTGAGTCGAAGAATAAAAGTTGTGAGAAAAAGATTTAAAGGCGTTGAGTTGAAGAATAAAAGTGGTGAGAATAAGATTTAAGGGGGTTGAGTTGAAAAATAAAAGTGGTTAGAAAAAGATTTAAAGCATTTAGTTGAAGAATAAGTGATGAGAATTAGATTTAAGGGTGTTGAGTTGAAGAATAAAAGTGGTGAGAAAAAGGTTTAAAGGCGTTGAGTCGAAGAATAAAAGTGGTGAGAATCATATTTAAGTGCATTGAGTTGAGGAATAAATGTGATGAGAAAATATTTAAGGGCGTTGAATTGAAGAATAAAAGTAGTAAAAATAAGATTTAAAAGACTTGAGCTGAAGAATAAACGTGGTGAGAATGAGACTTGAGGGCATTGAGTTGAAGAATAAACGTGGTGTAAAAAAAAATTTAAAGTGTTGAAGGAGCCCGAATTTTACTGCACTTATATGTAATCTCACTACTGCATATTCAACACACTTGTACCTTTAACCCAGCGCCTTTAAATCTTATTCTCACTTATTTAACTCAACACCATCAAATCTTGTTCTCATTACATTTATTCTTCAACTTAACGCCCATAAATCGAATTCTACCATATTATTATTTAACTCAACGACTTTAAATCATATTCTCCCCATGTTTATTTTTCAACTCAACACCTTTGAATCTTGTTCTCATCACATTTATTCTTCAAATTAATGTCTTGAAATCTTGTCCTCATCACTCAAATCAATTCTCCTTAAATTTTATTGAACAACTTAACATTAACTTGGCTAGTAATTTAAAAAAAAAAAAAAAAAAATGAAATTCTGGAAAATAAAGTCCTTTTAATATTTTTGTTAATGAAGTGAAAATTTGACCAATTTTTTTTGCATATATATGCAGAAATTCCATAAAAATCAACATACAGGTATACCCCAATGTATACAAATTATAAATTTAATAAGAACAATTGAAATTTTAGATATAAAGTTTACTATACGAGGTTTGAAATCCTAAGTTCTATTTTCATGAAGAAATTATCTTAGTATTAGCTTTATTTAGCAATAGTTTAATTACCAACAAAAAATTGGTTTCCCTTTGTCAACACACTGTTCTGAGGCTATATCATTTGAAGTAGGATTTTAGACAGAAATTTGGTTAAAAAATTTGGTGGTCCACACCATACCGGAGCACTGGCTGACAAACATCTGGTTGAATCTCCGATGTCGGCGAGAAAAGGGGAGGTGGGGCACTGACATCAACGAGCTTAATACGCACCAGCAATTTCAGCGAGAACTGAGAAGCAACCATTGAAGCACCCACTTCCTCTTCATTTTTTCTCTGTCTAGATCCTGATTCTTGGAGTTTCTCTTCACAAACCCAAAATCTATTATCTCTCTCACTGCATCCTCTCTCTTGACAAACCCAAAGACAGAGCTACAAACCTAAAGATAAGGACTGTCTTCACAAATCCAAAGACAATAAGGACACACTCAAAGTCGAATCGTTCACCACAAAACCCAAACTTGCTGTCCATGGCATCAATCGGTAAGACCTCAAGCCGGTGAAGACATCGGTGGGACTGGAGAAGAGAGAGGATGATGGAAGAATATATACAAATAGTGAAGAGAGATGAATCGGCACTGAGAATAAAGAATCGGCAAAGAGAGAAATATTTTAATAATTTTATTCAAAACGTTGTGTTTGGAACTATGGCACGGGCACAACATGACCCGTTTTACAGCAGATGATCCTGGTCCCTTTTCCTAGCCTTCTAGTTGTTCTGTCAAACAAAATTGGTCTAGTAATCAATCGACGTTCCTTGAGTGCGTTCATGATCTACTCACTATGTTGCGCAACCCACTGTGGTACCAATAAAAGGGAGAACCGACATGGTCTTGATACGTTGTCAGAGTACGTCAAGCCCCACCTGGGTGTTGAATACTGAATATGTCTTTTAAAATTTTTAATGAACTAAAATAATTTAAATTTTTTCAAAAGCATTAATTAGTCACAACAATAATGAATAACAGAATTAAAGCAGAACTCAAACCCTTGGGATGTTGATTCGAGAAAATTGTACCTTCTGCAAGTCTTTTTCTAGTCCATTGCGAAGGATTCCATTAAAGCAAGATCAACTCCTACTTGAATAAAGGCCTGAAACTATGGATTCTTGGTCTGCAGCCCCGCCCTGACTCCACTGCACCTATCACCCGAACTAGCTTCGCAAAGCATAGGTTCGGATGACCTTACTTATGTCATATTCACATAAGTGATTCTTAAAGGAATTTCTGATCTGACCAACCCATCCTTGCCTTTGTATCTATCCATAAGATAAAATATATTTTTTTCGTTATGAAGGCTTAAATCACTCCTATCATCATATTCTCCCAACATAAATAAAATTAAGAGAGATATAATGAAAGAGATGTAGCCCTTCGGCCTTTGTGCTGTGGAATGAGTTCAATAAATGTTTTTTTTTTTTTTGGGGAAAATTAGATTTTAGTGACCAAACCTAAAACAAAATTGATATAAAGTGACCATAAAGTCAAGAAAAGATGAATAGTCACCAAAATTAAGACTTAAACCCTAATAAGGGACCATTCGATGGTTTATTACATAAATATCCTTTTTTTAATGAATTATTTTATAATTGAATAAATTTATCTTGTGCATTAAACCCAATTAAATAAGCTGCTAGGTGGCTATGATTGCTGTGGTGTTGGGATTGATGTAAATAATCTTAATTTAAGAAAGCAATTCTACATTGATTACTTCAAACTTCTAAGAGGTAGGACGGAATTATGTTCTCTCCCTCTTTGATCAAAGTTAGATTGGATGGAATGGAAAATGAATAAAGTTTTTCAGAGGGTTTTTAATAAAATCTTGGAAGTAGCAAAAGAAGAAAAACTTAGCGAGGATAAGATGGTAAAAAGAAGGAAATATTATGTTCAGTGATATAGAGTTTGACCAGGTGTCTTTGAATCCATGGGAGACGGAATACCAAGCAATATGCTGGAAGTTTAAAGAGAGTGGGTATGGTTGTGCAGAATTTCATTGGCCATTGCCGAGGATGAATGCAACAAGCTTGTCCATTTTTTTTTCAATTTAATTTGTTCAAAATTTGTCATGTTTAATTGGTAGACTTCAAAGGAAAAAGAGAAAAAAGAGTGATGGTTGAGGAAGAGGAAGAACAGGATGAATATAAGGAGTTATTGATGGTAATTTTGTTATCTAAAAATTATTTTTAGTATGTTAAACAAACATATAAATATTTTTGACTAAATTACCCTCAAATGGTCACTTATTAGCAATTAAGTTTCAAATTCGGTGACTATTCATCTTTTATTAACTTTGTGGTCACTTTGTTTAGGTTTGGTAACAAAAATCCAATTTTCCTCAATTTATTTATTTATTTTTTCACACTTTGCATTTGTACAACCTTCACTGAAGAAAACAAAGGTCATTGCAGAGACTCCGAAGTCCAAAATTTTTATTATTTCTTTCATCTCCTGGCTCTCTTTCCTCACGGCTTCAAGTTTAGAAACCAAGCCCGTAGTCCTTCTAGCTAAAGCAGCAGTTGCTGTCAGGGGCGGAGCCAGGATTTTATTTCAAGGGGGGCACAATGCAATTATTTAAAAAAAAAAAAAAAATCAACAAGTATGACAAATATAATTTTTTTAAATCAAAAGGCAAACAAGAAAAAAAATAGTTGTAAAATAATATGCTAAAAAATAAGTACTGGGAAAAAAATATAATGGACAAATATAAGAATCAAAATATTGATTAATAATATTTTAATTAAATACAATCACAAATGTCATCTAAAAAAAGAAAGAAGAGGAAAAATGGTACAATACATAATTATACATAAGTGAAAAAAGAAACAAAAATAAAAAAGGAAAAATATATGGTGTACTTGAAGAAGGGGGATATATGTAATTTTTTATTTTTTATTTTATTTTTAAAAGGAAATTAGAAGAATTTGAAAATTTTAGGGGGGCCACTATTTAAAATTACCATATAAGTATATGTTAGCCGAGATATGGTAAGGTCACATCCCATGATTTGGGCTTATCATATCTCGGCTAACAATATATGTATATAGCAAAAATATATACACATGTATAGTAGGTTGGAGCAAGGGCAGGAGGGCACGTGTCCCCTCTGGGCCTTAATTGGCTCTGCCCCTGGCTGCTGTTATTCTGATTTATGACTAATGCTTCATCATCCTCCTGGCAATTTTTAGTATGAGAATCTGTTGAATATTTTGCAATTGTACAGCATTATGATTCTATAAAGCTGCTCGACAGTGTCTTCTGATAATTTGTGAGACGAAGACTGTGAAATTGAGGTTTGGGTCTTGGGGTTCTTCTGCCATTCTTGCTGCTACGTATGGATTATCTCTTCTCAATATTGATAATCTGTTTGAGCTTTGGTTTTTCTTGCTCAATTTTGGTACATAGAATTGAGAAAACCTTCTTCAAAGCCTTGAACCAGTTTTTTCCCTTCCTCCTTGACATGGTAAAATGCTGAAGGTATTGAAAAACTAGTGGAGCATTTATTAAATTTTGGGCGGGGAAGCTAAAATCATGGGATTTAACTCATTTCTGTTAGGAAAAAAGAAAAGAAAACATAAATTGATCTTCTCTAGTGTATTAGTATGCTATCATCAGGATTTTTTCTGTTTGATTTTGATAGTAGGTTGTCTTAATTAAATGAAAATGAGTGCACGTGAACAATTTTGTTTTGTATGTAGCTGCTTGGATTAAATTTGTTACTTTGTTGAGGGTGAAAGTTTAAGAAACTCATTGAACTAGGGATGATCTTGTATGGCTTATACTATTTGCAGATGCCAATCAACAGGTACCGACGAGCCAAAAACAAGGAGGAATTTATTTGACAACGCAAGCAACCTTCTTACTAATTTGTTGAGTGGGGGAAATCTTGGATCTATGCCTACGGCTGAAGGTGCAGTCTCTGATCTGTTTGGTCGGCCTCTTTTCTTCTCATTGTATGATTGGTTCTTGGAGGTACTTTATCCCATTTAGTAATTCCTTTAATTGAAAGATTCATTCACTTGCACTGCTGAATTGGTATCTAGTTGTTTCTTTATTATCTTTTTTTGTTGCCTGCAATATGTATTTGTTAAATATTGTTCTTGATAGTTGTCTGTCTCCTAAGTCCTTTCTTTTTTCTGTAATTATTTTTAATCTTACTTAACTGGACAGCATGGCTCAGTGTATAAACTTGCTTTTGGGCCAAAAGCATTTGTGGTTGTATCAGATCCCATTGTTGCAAGGCATATTCTCCGTGAAAATGCATTTTCTTATGACAAGGTATGATCCAATACTTCTGGTTTTTTTCTCCCCTCCCCCCCCCCCCCCCCCCCCCCCCCCCCCCCCCACACCCCACTCTCTCTCTCCCAATTTGTTTCTATTGTCATCTTTTATTCTATCTTCTTTATATCTGAACTAGTTATGGATATATTTTGTATTTTTATCCTTCCATTTGGTGTCTTTGCAGGCTCCTATGCAGTTATTTTCTTCCTTTGTTATTTTTGCACGATCCTAGAGAAACCTTTCTTCTATTGTTATCATTGATCATCAGCTTAGTTTTCTCCATTTCATGCCTTTTCACTTCTATATTTTGATAAGATTATCAATAAATTCATAAATTGTATGGATGGTTTGAGAGAATAGGACATTAATCAGGCTGATGTGCAAAAAGAACCGCGTGCTCTAGAATAAACAAACTTGACATACGTGATATAGGCAGCAAGTTACATTTCTAGCATGATGTCACTGACTGAAATTTTGTGTGCCTCACTTAGTGACATATTCAATTTTGCAAGTTTTTCTTGTTTTCTTCCTAGAAGAAATGATTTCTTGTCGGCAAGTGACTGCATATAAATTCTGGTTTCATCAAGTAAATGGAATCTTTCCACAAGATGACTATGAAGTAAATGAAGTGAAAAAACGTGACAGGAACTAAATAAAGGGTGCATTTCTTTCAATTGAAACTGTTGGAAAATATTGTTATTGGAATGATTAAAGCCATTAAATCACTCCTTGACAGAATATTGCTATGAGTGAATCATGGGAGTGATTTTAGGAATGTTTCCTATATCTTATTCATCACAAATCATGGGAGTGATTTTAGGAATGTTTCCTATATCGTATTCATCACATCTTTGTATTCTTTCACCTATAAATAAAGGTGATCATTGTATAAAGCCACCCAGAGAGTATAATAAAGATATGTAGTCCTTTGGGCTTTGTGTGCCCTGGATATAAGCCCTAGTGGTTGAACCACGTACCTTTGGCTTTGATACCATTTTAAAATTGAACAAAGAAGCAAAGTATGAAGAACACTAGGCAAGGATATATGTGGTTTAGTCACTAGGGTTTACATCCATGGCACAGAAAGGCTGAAGGGCTACCTGTCTTTTATTATACTCACGTTTCATACTAAATACCATGGTGGAGGCTCCTCTATATAGGAGAAGAAATGATGAGAATGGAAAGAGAAAATAGGAAACAACATTAATACTGGAGATTTTCTCCACTAATTCCTCCAGTAACAGTAAATCTTAAATTAGAGGATTTTCCTCCACTGATTCGTCCAATAATAGTACACAACTGTCAAGCTCGCTCCTATAGTAGCAACTCCCAACCATAAAGGTGTCAAACCGCTTGTGACTGCTTTAGCCAATATAAGGACTTGTTCAGTAGGCAAACATGATCTTCCTTTCCTAGAATCTCAAATCCCTCAAGCTGATGCATATAAATCTGTTCTTCAAACTCATCATGCAAGAAAGCAGTCTTGTCATCAAATTGCTTAGGCTCCATGTCATACAGGGCAACCATAGCAAGTAACACCCTGATTGAGCTATGTTTCACCGTAGGAGAAAAAACATCATTCAAGTCCACCCTTGCCTATGTGTAAAGCTCTTTGCCACCGAGTGTGCCTTGAACCTCGCATCTTCCACTCTTGGGGTTCCTTCCTTCTTCTTGAAGACCCATATAACGCCCACAATCTTTAGGCCCTTAGGCTTCTCAACTAGCTCCCAAATCTGATTCTTATGACGAGACTGAATCTCTTCACTCATGGCAACAAACCACTATGCTGACTCTCCACCTTGATGGCCTCATGATAAGTATGTGGTACCTGCTGCCACACTAAGTGCATAAGCAACCGAATCAGCATGTGAAAATCCATACTTCTATGGTGGTCTAGTCTCCCTCCTAAGCTTATCTCTAGCCACACTGTAGTGCTGTAAATGTGCATTTCCCTCGGTCCGAAACTACACCTGCTCATCAGTTGAGTGATCAGAAGCATCCTCTACCTGAATCCTTACATGCTCCACCTGCTTACTTACTGACACCTTGAGCCAATCAACTACCTCCTCCTACGGAGTGAGCATTGCAGGCTTCTGAAAAATCACAACCTTGCTAACAAGTATCTTCTTTCCCTAAGCATCTATGCACCACAATTTGTATCCCTTGACCCCGGGCTCAAACCAAGAAATATGCATTTCTTAGCCCTCAGTTCAAGCAATTCCATTCTGCTACGGAGTCTTCCTCACTTTGCTGTGTTTGACAATCTCATGAGTCTTGCAAAAGTCACTAAATTCTCCATCACAAAATTTCAACCTACTGTCTTTCCTCAAGCACTTGACCAATTTTCCGGTATGCTTTTCAATCAAGGTGTTCCACTGCTTGAATGTGACAAAAGCCTCATTCTTGTGCTTCAAAATATAAATGCATTCTCTTCGAGAAAAGTAATGAATCAACGTCATCATATATCTACCACCACCATGTGAAGCAACCTGAGAGGGACCCCAAAGATCATAATGGATTTAATCTATCTGTTGGAGAATTACGTGATTTATGTAATTGTTAGATAAATTTGGAAAGTATTAACTGTCTGATTTTGTACTAATTACAGGCTAATATAGCTGGTGTATTAAAGTTTAGGTTGACTTATTTTATTTTCTGATCTTAGGGATTTGATTGTATATTCCTTAATTTACTGGATTCTGATCTGATTGTATTCAGCCAATAAAGGTCAGGCTGCTTTGTATTAGAAAGTTATGAAGTATACTCCAGTTTTTCCCAATTTCTGTGTTATGGTATTAGAGCACTAGGTACTCTTTCTGGGATAAAATATTTCATCATTTACAGATTTCATAGCAGCTTGGAGTTTAGTTTTTTACAGAAGAAAAAAGAGATGTCAGAGGTTACACAAACCAGCTCTCAACCTACAATCCAACAACAGGTTCCTGGAGATCTACAGAACATTCAAGCTGCGTATAGGCTGAATGGAACGAACTATTTAAAGTGGTCTCAACTTGTTCAAACCTTTCTGAAAGGGAAGGGCAAGCTCAACCATCTTCTTGGAAAAGGGCCTAAGAAAGAAGATCCAAAGTTTGCTGCTTGGGACGAAGAAGACTCAATGGTCATGTTATGGCTATGGAATGCTATGGTACCCGAGATAAGTGATACTGTCATGTTTTTGACAACTGCTCAAGAGATATGGGAGGCGATCAGACAAACTTATTCGAAGAAAAATGATGCAGCCCAGGTGTACGAGATCAAGGTGAAGCTAGCTGCCACAAAACAAGGGAACAAGACTGTAACAGAGTATGCCAACACTCTGAAAAATTTGTGGTACGAGTTGGACTATTACCAGGTTCTCGAGATGAAGAACAGTGAGGATGCTGTGTTGTTGAAGGCTTTCATAGAAAAAGACCGAATCTATGATTTCTTAGCAGGCCTTAATCCGGAATTCGATACTGTAAGAGTTCAGACTTTGGGGAAAGGATTATCCTCCCTAAATGAAGCAATTGTAACTATTCGTGCTGAAGAGAGCAGGAGAGGAGTTATGTTGGATTCGCAGCCATTGGAAGGATCGGCACTCCTTACAACCGTTGCTAGTGAGCGAACTTTGGAGAAGAAGTCTTCAGCTATTACTGATTATAAGAAATCTGACCCGAAGAGGACATTCAAAGAGAATCTGGTATGTAACTATTGCAAGAAAACTGGTCATACGAAGGACACTTGCTATAAGCTACATGGAAGGCCACACAAAACATGAATCAGTCAAACTGGAATTCCGGAGGAAGAAGCTGGCAGCAAAAGGGAAAAGCCCACGTTGCACAAAATAGCACTAATAATACCAGTGATCAACCGAATTCCAACAGCAGAGAATTCTGTAAGGAAGACATTGATCGCCTCCAATCCCTTCTTAATTCACTCGAAGAACCTACAGGTGCCTGTTCATTAGCACTTTCTGGTATGTATTCTGGTTCTCATGCTCTTAGTGTCTCAGATAATGTTTTAATCCACCCACACTCTTGGATTGTCGACTCAGGCGCAACCAACCATATGACCTACTCATCCCAATCTTTTTCTTCTTATAAACCATGCCCAAGTAATAAAAAGATCACTATAGCTGATGGGAATTTAGTCATTGTTGCAGGACAGGGGGACATATCCTTAGGACCTTCCTTGTGTCTTAAAAATGTTTTACATGTGCCCAAATTGACAACCAATCTTTTATCTGTCAAACAAATCACCAAGGATATGAACTGCAATCTTATTTTCTCAAAAAATTCATGTGTGTTTCAGGACCGAGCTTCGGGGAAGACGATTGGGCATGCTAAAGAAAGGATGGTCTCTACTGTCTCGAGCCCATGAGTGGAAAAGTGAGTACTGGAATTGGTTGTTCATCTGTGCTTCTGTCTGATTCCTCCACAAATAAAGACAAAATTCTCCTTCATCATTTTCAGCTTGGTCATCCTTCCTTCAGAACTCTTAGTCTTATGTTTCCTTCTTTGTTTAAAAATGTTGATTTGAAACAACTTCATTGTGATATTTGTTAAATTGCCAAACACAAACGTGTTTCCTTTCCTTTGAACAATAATAAATCATCAGTTCCTTTTTATTTGATGCACAGTGATGTTTGGGGTCCTTCACGGGTTGCTAATTATTCTGGGGCACGTTGGTTTGTCATTTTTATAGATGATTGTACGCGGGTAACTTGGACTTTTCTCATGAAGCAAAAATCTGATGTAGCCAATATCTTTCCAATATTTCATAACATGATAAAAACACAGTTTGGGGTGAAAATTAAAAGAGTGAGGACAGACAACGGGAGAGAATATTTTAACCAAATTCTTTCACCATATTTGAATCAGGAGGGAATAGTTCATGAGTCCTCATGCATTGACACACCCCAACAAAATGGGGTGGCCGAAAGAAAGAATGGACATCTTCTTGAAACTACCCGTGCTCTTCTTTTTCAAAGACATGTTCCAAAATATTTTTGGGGGGAA